CATGCCGTTGCTGCATCGAAAGCAACCTCTCCGGCGCCCCCGTTTTCCGGTTTTCCTGGATTTCTGTTTTTAACGTCTAGGCGGAAGTGAGTACGGCAAAACGGAAGTGGGAGACTCAGCATCTGAAAGGGCTGAGAGCGGAAGAGGAGAAAACGCTTCTGCAAGGGAAGGAGGAAGAACTTTTCACTTACACTCGAGAAGACGCCTATAACAAAGTAAACAAATTTCTCAGCTTTTCCCTCGTCTCGAAGCTCTGGCCATATTTCCAGGCTCGGGCTTCCCTGTCACCATCACCGCCCGCCATCTTTTCAATGTCGCCCTTCTCCCGCTGCCGTGAAATTAACTTCTCCAAACTTAAGCCCTAGCTGAGGTGAATGCCAGGGTTTTCGGGTGTGGAAAGCCGTCGGGGGCTGCTGCTGTCGACGTTTCCGTTCGCTCGGCTTTTCCTCTTCTACATTTCCAGCTGACGATGCCCTTCGGGGATTAGAGTCTCCCTCTGGGAAGCGGGGGGCCGGGGGATCCCCTTAGATGATGCTCCCTATGTTGAGCTGGCTGCTAAGAGGGGTGGGGTAAGAATTGGGGTACATTTTTCATAACACTAGAACTGAATAAACCTCTCTTTGTCCTCCCTATTCCCATCACCGCCATCCCTGGTACTACAGGAGTATTTTTATGAAGGACCAGATGGACAAACTGAAATCATGCCAGTAAGTACTCCTCCTCCTCTTCCTCCTCCCATTCTTCTCCTCCTCCCACTTCCTCCCATTCTCCACCACCACCTCCACTTCTCTTTCTCCTCTTCCTTCCATCCTCCTCCCATTCTCCTGTCCCTCCCATTCTCCTCCTCCTCTTCTCCCATTCTTCTTCTTCTCCTCCCATTTTCTTCCTCCTTTCCTCCTCCAATTCTCCTCCTTCTCCTTCCATTCTTCTCCTCCTCCCCTCTTCTCCCATCCTTCTCCCATCCTTCTACCCCTTCCTCCCATTCTCCACCTCCTCTTCTCCTACCATTCTTCTCCTTCTCCCCCCCCATTTTCCTCCTTCCTCCTCCAATTCTCCTCCTCCTCCCCCCATTCTTCTCCTCCTACCCCTTCCTCCCATTCTCCACCTCCTCTTCTCCTCCCATTCTTCTTCTCCCCCCATTTCCCTCCTTCTTTCCTCCTCCAATTCTCCTCCTTCTCCTCCCATTCTTCTCCCCTCCCCTCCTCCCATTCTCCACCTCCTGTTCTCTTCTCCTCCTCCTTCCAGCCTACTCCCATCCCCCTCCCTCTCCCATTTTCCTCTCCCTCTAATTTTCTTCCTCCTTCCCTCCTCCCCCTCCTCATCTTCCTCCTGCTCCTCCGCAGTGAAACACACCAATGCATATATATCTACCCCTACAGTTTAGGAAACAAGGGGTGGGTAACTTTTCTCCTGGTGCTTTTTGCAGCTTTGGACTCCGCCCACCCCACCACAGGATGACAATGATATTTACATTGACTCGGTCATGTGTCTGATGTACGAGCCGGTCCCCATCCCAGAGTCCAAGCTGCCTCCCGTGTACGTCCGGAAGGAGCGCAAGAGGCACAAGACCGATCCTTCCAGTAAGCTTTGCCTGGGATTTGAGACCCATGTGCCTTGTGCATTGGCTGCACCTCTTGTCACCTTCACCTTGAAGCTGATTCAACTCCATCCACATCATCTTCCTGGCTTCAGGCTTGATATGTTCAGGACAGACTGCATGCACTCTTGTTTGTCTCTTCACACACACACACACATACATAGAGAGAGAGGGAGGGAGAGAGGGGGAGAGAGAGAGAGACCGAGAGAGGGAGAGGGAGACCAAGAGAAGGAGGGGGAGAGAGGGAGGGAGAGAGAAAAAGAGACCGAGAGAGTGAGCGGGAGACCAAGAGTAGGAGGAGGGGAGAGAGAGAGAGAGAGGAAAGAAGGAAAGAAAGAAAAAGAAAGAAAGAAAGAAAGAAAGAAAGAAAGAAAGAAAGAAAGAAAGAAAGAAAGAAAGAAAGAAAGAAAGACTCAACCCCCCTCTACCTGTCCTGCTGACTGTGGCCCCCCTCTCTCCCAGCCGCAGGAAGGAAGAAGAAGCAGCGTCACGGAGAAATCGTCGTTCCTCCTCGCTCCCTCTTTGACCGCGCCACTCCGGGAATGCTGAAAGTGCGCCGGGAAGGCAAGGAGCAAAAGAAGAACATCCTGCTCAAACAGCAGACCCCGTTTGCCAAGCCCTTGCCCACCCTTGCGAAGCCGGCGGCGGAATCCGGCCAGGACAACCCCGAGTGGCTGATCAGCGAAGACTGGGCGCTCCTCCAGGTGAGAGGCGGTGAGAGGCGGTCTACCCAACCAACCTGAAAGCGACCTCTCTCTGTAGTGGCCACCCAGTGTGTGACCCAGACCGTGGCATCGAGCAGTCGGGCACTAGGTGTCCATCTCCATTCGTCACTCGTTGTTTTTAGGGATATCTCAGCCAAGGAACCTTTTTCTTTCTTCTTCAGAACTGTTCCCCCCCCCCACCCTCCCGCTTCCTACTTTCTTAACATAAATCCATAAGTCTTAACAATTGCAGTTCCTTCCTAGAAGAAAGGCAGCTTTTGGGGGGTTGCGAGGTATGAACGGGGTGGGGGAAAGATGTTCCAAGAATACAACACCAGAAGAGGTAATAAATTCTGCAGCCTAAAAGGGGGTAGCTGCTTTTTATTTAAAGAGCCGTGGTGGCACAGTGGTTAGACTGCAGTATAAAATTCTGCCCACTGCCAGCAGTTCGATCCTGACCGGCTCAAGGTTGACTCAGCCTTCCCTCCTTCCGAGGTAGGTAAAATGAGGACCCAGATTGTTGGGGGCAAGAGGCCGACTCTGTAAACCGCTTAGAGAGGGCTGGAAAACACTGTAAAGCAGCATATAAGTCTAAGGGCTATTTCTACTGCTATTCTCAGTAGTCTTGTCTTCTGAAGTCTGCCCCAGTGT